ACTAAATTCTGATTTCGAAATTTTTTTTAGCAGCTTACAGCAATATAATATTGTAAGTAGTCTCAATTCTCAGCCAAATAACCAGTCAAGGAAACAAATAGAAAATATTGCAATTTAGTTGGAGCTTATATACCTATGTATATATGTCTATATATTTATGTGTACATATGTACCTACATACATATGTAATATGTCATTGCAGTGAGCAAACCATTGTACTATATGTCAGTGAGCGCGTTTAAGCTGCTGCCTTTCCCAAACCGGATTTTTTAGTACGTTATTAAATAGCTCAAGAGACTTGAGTGTTAATTTTTCAAGGGCATATATGATTACCATGCGATAGTGGCGATAGAGAGACACAATCATATGCTGTAATGCAAATTCAAATGGAAATAAATGCCAAGTAGTTGCGTGAAGATTTCATATTGCTAAATTTGAAAATAGATATATATATATACTATATATATATCATATATTTTATAACAGAAAAAATATATATTATGTATGTAATATCTTATATAATTATAATATATGTATGTAGAGCCTCGAAATGCTGGAATCAACGAAATTTTTTCCAAGCAAAATCATAAAGTTCACACTTGCAATAAATTTGCTCCTAATTGTATCTGGCATGGCGATTAACTTTTTCAATGTCAAAAAAATAGTATATGAAAGGTGCTTTAAACTTACATTACAAAAAGTGTGATATCAAAAAAAAAAAAGTAGCGACAAGATTATTCTGACTAGCTTTCTTCAAAACCACTTCTACGTTTGAGATACGGATTTTTGTACTCACCATTCATTTCACAAGAATTTAATTTTGAAAAAGTGCTGTCATTCGTTTAATATATAAGTGAATGTAATTTATACAGTAAAATTAATAGCAAAAATGCAAAATCGTGTTAATGTTCTCTTCGTGAATGTTGAATGCTTAAAAAAATCGCAAGATAACTATTATAAAAGCTTAAGATATAACAACGCGTGACTCATTTCAGTGACTCAAGTTGGCACAAATGCTTTTAGTTTTCGGTTAATATTTGAATCGGTTACTTTAAACTACCCATAATATAATTTCCAAGTGATCTGGATAAGCAAGTTAAGACAAAAGAACATGTGACTCAATTAAATGAATTCTAAGAACAGCATATACAGTTTTCTTGGGTGTCAGTCTGTGCGATATAATATATTGATAAAAGATATAGAGAGATAGAGGGCATTTAATATTCTAATAATACTGTGACTTTGTGCCAAAAATGTAGTAAGTGGTGTCATCACTTCCTTCAGCTGCCATATACGACTATACATAAGAGCGAGTTGATTTACAGGAAGCCAAAAAAAAAACGGAAAAATCGCGTGTGCGGAAAATGTTCGACGAATCATTCTAGACGTCTCTGCCTAAGAGAATATGGGTCTAAAGCCGATTTTCAGCCAGCGATTTTTTAAGTAAAGTTTTTTTTCGGGATTATAAAAATTTCTTCGTCAGTTTTTGAGATATCTGAATGAAATTTAATACATAGATGCATTTTGAGTTTCTATTAAGCATTTGTCGAAATCAAATTTTAATTAATTTTATATAATTAATTCTTTTTAAAATTTATGCACCGTGAAAGAGCTCCATGCTCAGCCACGCATATGCGTCGCCTAATTGGAAAATTATTCATTGCGCCCTGAAGGGTTGAAGTCGGAATTGTCTCAATTATCGATTTAATGGACTGCTTCAATTCAGTCAGATTTCTGGGTTATGTTTTGTACATCGCTTGCTTGACATAAACTCATAAATTTATCCTGGTGCAGGAGGTATATACATACATATTAATCATATTAAATTTCGTATTTTCGTTTGAGTTTATACCACACATACATATCTCCATAAAAAATGTCGCAATAAAATGAGGTGAATTTGGAATTTATTCGACAGATTTTTTAATAAAAAGTTTTTTCAACACCTGAAAATATTTCACCGACTTTAATCCTTGCAAATTGCGAAAGTATAAAATATTCGCTTACATCCGAGCTTAGCCTTTCCTGACTTGTTTCTTATTATTATTATTGTTTTTTCAGCTTAAAAATTCCAAACAGGTGGCAGCTTTTTGCTTTTTATCACGCAAGAAAAATGCAAAAAAAATGTATTTCGTTTAAGCTTTCTTTACGCTTGCTTTATTACAATTTGCAACAACAAAAATACACACTTCATAAGACCCACAACACTTGTGCGCATTTTCAGCACCTCTCCTCTCCTCGAAAACGGTAAAATATCCAAAAGTATGCAAACCATTAAAATATAATTCAATCAAGCGGCACAGGCGAATCATCCATCAATTGCAAGCAAACGCTTGCTCAAGTGTGTGTATGTGTGTGTGTGTTATGTATATAGCTCAAGTGTTGTTGTACGAGTAGCCTGTTCGTCCGCCTGGCATTGGCCAGCTACTCGGCGCTCTTCTTCTTCTGCTTTTTGCCACCGTTCGGTGTTTATATTGCGAAATGGTTTGTTTATGCATGCAACACCTGTTGTGGGCCAACATTGCGGTTTAATTTTTCTGCTGTTGATTGAACAAATTTTATTGTGGTCGCTCGTTTTAGAATTACCGCCAGTAAGCATTTTAATATTGTAGCAGACGCGTTCGACAAAATGTTTCACATTCAAGTTGAGAGCTGCTCTCGCACTGAGCGCTGGGAGCGATGCAAATATGTTCGATAGTTTAGGTCACCGGTGGTGATTACTTAAAAGCTGACTAAACCAGCGGTAATTTTTAATAAATGTGCGCTACAGATTTGACCATTTAATTGCATACATATGTAGTAGTACGAGTGTAGATTTAACATCTTTTAATTGGCTTAGTCAGGCTGCTTTTCTTTTGCATTTTTGTAAAGAGTTTTTGGAACTTCGAAGTATATCAAGGCAATCTTATAATGTCACTCTCAAAGAAAGTCTCTCGCCCGCATTGACAAAAAACTCAATCAGTCGATTTTCAGTAATTTCTCTTGAGAATAATTTTTCATCAGCAGAATCTTTCACCATAGACCGGAACAGGTAGTAATAACATGGTGCCAGGTCCGGACCTATAAGGTGGACGCATAAGAAAACGCGCAGCTTCTGTGTGGCCTGGCATTGTCCTTAGAGAACACAATTCATCTACTATTGACCAAAACTAGTCACTTCTGAGTGATTGCTGAAGGCTAACCTCTAGTGGATATTACAAGTCCGAGTAAAGAGTTTGGAAGTAGGAGACCAGCTCATGTTAGCTGATCGCCAGCCAAACCCACCGAATGCAAAGCAAAACCTTCCTGTTCGTCAATCCTGAACTGGTCACTGTTTACGCCAACTCGCCGCGATTCAGTCACGACCGTTTTCGCTTGACGTTTTCGTAAGTAACACACTTTTCATCTCCCGCAATCAACTGCTTCAGAAATAGATCGATTTTGTTGCGATTCAACAGTGTTGCGCAGCTGTAAATTCAGTCCATGAGTTTTTACGGTAACTCGTAGGGCACCCATACATGGAGCGTTTCCTTTATACCAAGCCTTATTTAAATGATACGAAACGGTTTTTTGTACAATGTTTAGCTCCAGGGCAATCGAAATGAATCGACAATTTCCATTATTTTACCGTTATTTGCGACAGAAGACCTGCCATAAAGTGGCTCATCTGTGACATCAAAATTACTAGAAAGAAATCTCCAAAACATGACTCTTACAGTGTTAGGATCTCAAACATTACTCAACATTTCAGCCGCGTATTGACTAAAAATATCGTAATCGAAGAAAAACTTTAATATATGGCGTATTTTCTCTTGGCTGGTGTCCATCCTTGTCACGTGCTCAAGCAATACTAAGGCAGATTAGGTTAAGAAGTCGATCCCAACAGGGATCTCACGACGACAGCTTAGAACGCCGAAGCTCCTATATAATAAATCATAGGATCCTTACAAATCGACAATCGACTCTATTACAAGTTTGTTGAGATAGCTAACGTCAGTTTCGGCTATGTCTTCTGGTTCGCCGGTAATAATACTGTGACAAGCATACACAAAAGGTCTGTAAAGTTTTTTTTTTGGTACAAAATCTTATCTTTCTACATACATACAAGTATGTAGGCTTGTTTGAATATGTAAAAAATCTTCCAGTAAACTAGTGCGATCATTCCCTCAAACCCTAACAGGTTCACTTGCTCTGACAGTTTTTATGTACTTATGTGTATTCTACAGCAAAAGCTTAAAAACTCCCTGACAAATATATATACAAGTATAATGTAATACATAAGTGCACTTATATAACACAGCTTCAAGCCCAGTTTGCCACCCGAAAGCACACAATACCTACAATTTTATTTAGGTCAATTGTTCTTCAATAATCATTTACCGTTTAAGCACTTTTCACTTGCAAACCGAAATTATGCAATTCACCCCATGGCTGGCAATCAGTTAAAAAAATAGTACGGAAGGCAGACCGAAACTTTACGGAAATCTTACCTCCAGCCACTTGAGCAACTGTGGTGGCCTAGCACCAGCTATCGAGCGCATCAACGCTCTTGATCTGACGCAGCCAGCGCCTGGTCAACAGACAATTGATGACGGCGCATAAACTTAGCGGTTCAGTAGTTAAGTTGGCTTATGTAACAGCGCGATGTTGCTAGCGACGAGCGTCGGTATGGGGTTTGAGGAGATGGTGGAAAGATTGCAGTTTGCAGCGCAGCGTCGTTACTTCAGTAATCGCTGCAACTGATTTTCAAGTGAAGTAGCATTCAGCAGCCGTTTGGCGCTTGATTGGTTTTCTATATATATATTTAGTCGACCACTTTTTGTTTCAGCAAGTTTCCTTCGAACTTTAATTGCGCGCCCTGCTTCACGTTTCTAATTAAACTTTTGCAATTAGAAAGCATGAACGGGAAAATTTCACGAGAATTAATTTTTGCTTTGCGTTATCAATTCATATAAAGCAATTATATTTACAAACTATGAATTCTATCTAATTGTGATTTATTATTGATTTCATTTGCAAAGGTCGCGTATATGCAGCTACCTGCACCAAAAACCCGACACTGAATTTTATACTTTGGTAGCTACTTTATATCAACGACTGTGACACGCTACAGTTGGCTTAGTTGGAGAAGTGCGCGCATAATGACAACCCGCCAATACAGTTTTCGATGGCGCCTACTTATAACGGCTTTGATTTTACTGCTGCCAGCGGCATATGGTAACGCCGCATACCCAAACACTTGTATATCTTGAAAACTGTAGAAATTTTCTACTTGCAGGCTTCCCTTTCATCTTCAACAGCAACCGTAAGGTAATCAACTGGACCGTGCCGGAAGACGACTGGGTAATACAAGCAGTGCCGCGCAGCATAACGCCGCACGTAGAATTGAAAAGGTTTCCAAACCGCACAAACGCCGAACCGGCGCAAAGCGATGAAGAGTTTTTGGCGCGTTTGCGCCAACTCAAACGTAACGACACAATGGCGCGCATGCTTTGGTATGACACCACACCCGATGGGCTCAGCTACCCGCCATTTGTGGACAAGGCGCTGAAGCTGTTCAATCTCAAACAGGTGGCGTTCGAGATCGAGAACAGCGTAATGTCCAAGGTCTCATGTACCGCCTGCAAGGCTGGCGCTGGCCTACTGCAACATTATATACGCGCTGGCAAAACCGAGGCGCAGATCATCAAATTGATTTACGAATTTTGCGTTAATCTCAACATACAAAGTTCACGCGTTTGCGAAGGCGTCTCGACACTTTTCGGCAGTGAAGTGATTTATGTGCTGCAGCGCGTCAATCTTGGGCCAGATGAGATTTGCAGCTTTGTGATTGGTGACGCTTGTGGCGATGTGTACAATCCGTATCATGAGTGGGAAGTTATATTTCCGCCAGTGCCCAAGCCACCAGTTGCTGAAGTGGGCATGCCAAAGGAGGCGGCGCCATTCTTCAAAGTGCTACACATCTCAGATACACACTACGATCCACATTATGTGGAAGGCTCCAATGCTAACTGCAATGAGCCGTTATGTTGTCGGCTGAGCAGTGGACGTCCCTCCAGTCCAAACGATGCTGCGGGTAAATGGGGTGATTACCGCAAGTGCGATACGCCCAAACGTACGGTAGACAATATGTTGGAGCATATCGCCGATACGCATAAGGATATTGACTATATACTGTGGACTGGTGATCTGCCGCCACACGACGTTTGGAATCAAACCAAGGCGGAGAACTTAGAGATTATTAAGGAGACTGTGCGCCAGATGACGGAAAAGTTTCCCGGCATACCGATCTTCCCGGCGTTGGGCAATCACGAAAGTGCGCCCGTTAACAGCTTTCCGCCACCGTATGTGAATCAAGTGGACATCTCTATATCGTGGTTATATGACGAATTGGATGTGCAATGGCGTCGTTGGTTGCCACAGAGTGTTTCGCATACAGTGCGACGTGGCGCCTTTTATTCGGTGCTCGTGCGTCCAGGCTTCCGTATTATTTCACTCAATATGAATTATTGCAATAATAAAAATTGGTAAGTCAATGCTATAGTTTTAAGCTGTTTTCGTTAATTTCACTACATTGATTTATCTTATAGGTGGTTACTGTTAAATTCCACAGATCCGGCGACAGAGCTGCAATGGTTTATATATGAACTGCAGAGCGCTGAATTCTCCAACGAGAAAGTACATGTGATCGGTCACATACCGCCAGGACATCCGGATTGTTTGAAGGTCTGGTCACGCAACTTCTATCGCATCATTTCGCGTTACGAGAGCACAATTTCCGCACAGTTCTATGGACACACACACTTTGATGAGTTCGAAATGTTCTACGATCCACATGATCTTAGTGAGTAGTCTGAAAATCAATTAAATGGCAGCGAAGTTAAACTATTAATAATACGGATTTTCTCTCCTAGGTCATCCCACAAGTATAGCATATATTGGTCCATCGGTATCACCATATTATGATCTAAATCCAGGCTATCGTGTGTACTATGTTGATGGTGATCACGACACTACCACACGTTTGGTCGTGGATCACGAATCTTGGATCATGAATTTGAAAGAGGCAAACCTTTACGACTACCCCATATGGTATAAGTTGTATACCACACGTGCAGCGTATAATATGAAAGCACTCAGACCTGTGGACTGGAGTAACTTAATCGATGAGATGGCGAATAATCAAGAATTATTTGATTTATATTACAAGTAAGTGAGATGGTCATAAAATTAAAGTGGGTTCTATAATGCAAAAATGACGAGGTCGATTTGGATGGTCTTGCAGTTGTGGAATTAGTTTCCATCCCAAAAATATTTAGAAAAAATATTTCTAGATTATCTATCCACACATTTAAATAAGGCTGGATACAAAGAGCAGTTCGATATATGGGTGCCACAGGAGTTCACCTAAAAAAGCTTCATGGAACGTATTTCCATTTGCAAATGGCTGCTTAATAGCAACTAAATCGATCTATTTCTGAAGCGGATGGTTTCTGATGATGAAAGGTTGGTCACTTACGATAACGTCAAGCTAAAACAGTTGAGATCGACCTATGGTAATCAAGCCAGGATGGAGGGTCAGAAGGTTTTACTATGTAATTGGTAGGATTGAAAAGAAATAATTTACTATGAGCTGCTTCTCTACGACCAAATTTTTAATTCGGCGCTGTACTATAAACAATTGGACCGTCTGAAGGCAATAATCGCCCAGGAGCGTCCAGCTGTGGCTAATAGAGCTTTTAAGTGGCTTATTATAAAATATTATCTTCCTAAGTGATTTTAGATTTCCGACTGGTCTACAGAATTACAGCTCTGACTTAGTATTAAGCTTGAATATTATAAATTGGCAAGACATACACAGTTCATTCCAAATTATTGTTGCATTTTACAGAAACTACTGGAAGAACTCACCAATACGGCCGGTTTGTGACGCCGAATGCCGCAAACGTATGCTTTGCGATTGCAAGAGCGGACGTTCGCACGACCGACGGCATTTCTGCGAGGACGTCGAGGCGAAAGTAGACGACGGCTCGTCGAAGTCCTGGAAGTCATGGCTGTACCGTGGCTTGACAAACTCGTACGTACAACTGTTTGTGTGAATACATTACCGTTATGTACTTAAACATTAAACAAAAGTTTTGTCTGGTGAAGTTGTTATTGCTATATTGTCTTGTAATCGGTACATAAATGTTGGTGTATTGGAAAAAATGTTTCATAAACAGTATTTTAAGCTATTATTTAAAAATGTGTGTAGCTAGATCTGATGTTCATTTTAACGACACCCACACTTACGCATACATTTTTATAGATTTATACATCTTGTATATATAATATTTATGTATTTATGTGCATACTTCAAAAAATTAAAATTTTCAAATTTTTTTTTTTTTCTGTGTATTTGCGTCATTGTCCTCTCGTTCTGCTACTAACCATCGCTTGTCGTTTGCTTTCCATTGTACAATACATTATCTGTTATCTTTTATCTTTGCTTATCTTGTAGTGTTTCCGCAGTTACCAATACATATGAAGCTGTTTCAAACATTTTAAGTGACTAAGTACTTAGTAAATAATTTAAAAAAAAAATAAATTTAATTAATTTAGTTTAAATACTTATCACTCGCACAATAGTCGTATTCATCTTAGCTATTCGGTTGTGCGCCGAAGTTAGCGTTCATTTAAGCGGTTATATCCACTTGCAATTCAAAATAAACGCATATTTTTGTGTTCAATTTTCTGAAGAGGCGTTATATTTTATAAATAAATAAAAATTGTGTACAGTTAAAGAATTTAAGATACTTTAATTACCAGTGCTTCATTTTGAAAAAATTTGTATTCGCTTGATCCCATAGTCGCTCTCGAAAAGGACCTCCGAAAAAGGTGTCTGGCGGTGAGAAAGATTTTTCTGCTTAAAATTATCGCAAATCCAATAGCAAAAAAAAAAATCGATTATAACTATAGATGAGCGCCGGTAATGATCGTAGTACTAGATCAAACTGTAATGCCAAAATGGCTGCCTCACCAAAAAAGCCTCACAGCTTTTGTGGAAAAATAACACTACAGAGTGGCTTATAAAATCTAAATTATTAACGGAAATCTTATATCTGCGATCCTTACCTGATTTAAGTTGATCTAGGAAGGTCGTGTGAAAATTTCAAGTCGAACAGTCGAACGTTTCGTAGAAATTATTCGCACCGACTCTAAAAACAGTTTTTCGAGCAAAACGCGTTTCAAGTTTTTGAATTTACAAATATGCGCATGCCTCCCAAACTATTTGGCGCATTAACTTCAAATTTTCGTAGAGTATTCTCAAATTTATGTGCATTCGATATACATGCACAAAAAATCGTTTTTTTGAAATTCACAAATGGCTATAACCCCTTAAAGAGTAGTGCTGTCATTTTAACCAAAAATTAACTCATTTTACTTATTAATTATGCTTCAATAAACACTTATGCAACAAAACGGTGTTTGGAACCACAACAACAAAAACGCACAAACACACACTGTAACACACGTGGATAACTGCAAAACACTTTGCGGCTAACGGCACAAATTGCAACTCGCCAGCGAGGAGAACACAGTCGAGACCACAACCGAAAAGTGGCGAGTGCCCGATGTGCTGTACATATTTACACGCTGAAGGGGTGATGGCGAATATTTTACCAATAGCAATAATCTACGGGCTTTTTATTTTATAATTTTATATAATTTTACAATTGGTTAAAATTTTACAATTGGATTTTTTTTTTGGCATATTGAATATGAATTATGGTGGCTGGTGGCGCATTGTGCAGTGGCTTCTTCTGGTCACTTGAAAAACTAAAGTTCGTCTGCTAAACGAACCAAATTGTGAATATAGAATTGTATATACAATATATATTTAAATTATAAAAAAAAATTTAATTATTACAAATACAATAAAACAAATAAAAATGGGTTCAAACAAACGTGCTTTACACATTTCTCTGCAATCCTCAATCCATAGTTATAGTCTGATCTCGTCCATCACGTACCTGCCCAAGTACCTGTTGGGCTTCGGCTGAAGAGCAGCGAGCGCCAGTGACATACTGCAAAAAACCTGCAAGAATCCTCAATAAAAAAGGCCAAAACGTGCATACAACACGGGAACTTGAAACGGAGACCAGAGCTGTACATATGTATGTAGCAAATTGTGAGAATTTCTCCTGTAAAAGTGCAAACAAATCAAACTCATACGCAAATTTTTATTATAAAATATTTTAATTATAGAAATCGTTTAGCTGGTAACTGTAAAAGAGTGTGTGTGTGTGTATTAGTGTATTAGGGTGTACCAAAAAAAAATGTTTTTTTCTAGTTACAAGTTAAAATACACATACATACATACATGTATAAAAGTGTACTTAAATTCATAAATTGAATAAACTAATAAATATTTCTAAATTTTTAATACTTACGTATGTATGTATATGTTATTATAAAATGTCCTTCCAACGCTTTTTTTCATTACTGCTTAATAAAAAACTAAATTTCATTGAATTTTTATGCATAAACACAATAAAATTTATAAAAAAAAATTTATTTTATGATTATGAGACATTAAAAAAACAAAAGTTTTAAAAATTAGATATTTTATGATTTTGAATCATTATTTTGTGAAAAAAATATAAACTCTAAAAATTTTTTTTTGCGATTTATGTTTGGTTTTTGACCTCAAATAACTTTTGAAAGAGACCACCTAACAAAAAATCGTTTAAGAGCCTTTTTGTAGATCGTTAAATTTATAACAGGATAAGTTTTCATTTTCACTATAAAATAACCTGTGCAAATGCATAAAACATGCAACAACAAAAAACAATTTAAAAATTATTTTTACGATTTAGTTTTAAACTTTGACTCCAAATAACTTTTAAACGAGTAGACTTAGCAAAAAATCATCTTGGAACTTTTTTGTAGATCGTTAAATTCGCTACAAGAATATATATTCATATTCGCTACACAATACTTAAATGCATTAAACATCCGAACATATTAAGAAAGTATAGCGTTTTTCTTTATATTCAAAATCAAAAAGCTCAAATCGTCACTTGTTAATAACGCCATAACAATTTTTTTAACGCCATTTCGCAAGATATTTAAAAAAAATGTCACAAAAAAATTTTTCACGAAAAAAAATTGTTTACGAAAACATTTTTTACGAAATAAATTTTTTCACGCATTAAAACTATTTTCTAAGAGAAAAAATTAATTTTTTTTGGCACACCCTAGTGTTTATATATTAGTTATGTGATTATTAGCATTAAGTATAAATATATTTAAGTAGTATATTAAACCAGCAATATTAAAAAAATGAGAACAAGTCAAATATGTATAAGCCTACACACACACACACACACACACACACTTAAAGCTGTCGCGAATACTCGGAAATTTCTCATTTCAAAAAAAGTCCACTTTCTTAGCTGTAAAGTATAAGTTACGCATAATAATTAACCGCAAAGTCATAGCTAACCGTAAACGCACACACACAGTCATAAAGTAAGCATTGCGTTCCATGTTGTAGACACATGCCCGCACACCTGCAAATACACTCATACCGTTAGTTAAAATGCGCATGCAATAACAATGTGCATATAATCGTTTTAAGTTATATATACTATGTAGGTTTAATATCGAAATAAATATAAAAAAATTTTAAATAAAAATTTGCCTTTCAATTGTCATAAAAGTCTTTGAATTTTCGTTCGTACTGTTGGTGAAAAAGTTGCGTGATTTAGTTAAGACACACACCAAGCGTCAACAGTTTGGTAGCCAATGTGTTGTGTATTTAGGCATTACGGGTGTTCACAGCAGTAACATTAACTAATTTTTGGTTGGAGAGAATATGTACATAATAATATATAATATTAAAATGTAAATGGTATGCGTGGTTATGCACCGTTTAAATCCATTTTCACACTTTTTAAGAAAGTTGATATAATTTTGGTGGAAGAACTCCAAACATATTACAGGGAGAGGCCACGACCACTTAAAAAAAAAATTTTAAGCCACAAATGCGGCTACTCTACTGCAACCCTCTACTACAATATATTTTGTAACTTGAATTCTGGCTTCATTATAGCATATTATAAGATTTCGATTAACGGCATTTTGTGGGCGTGGCAATGATGCTTTTACGCCAATCAGACAAAACCAAAAAAATATCAGGAAATAAAATGTATGAAATTTATTGACTTCAGTTTTTCTGGCCTAATTGGATGTTTCAAGACAGGATATACAGTATCTGTCTGACGTGCGTCGTTCAAAATGCTATATCTCAGAATTGACATGTCCGAATTTTGCATTAAATTCTACGAACCATTAGATACGCTCGATACGCTCCCTACTCATATGTATGAATCAAAGGCAAAGAAATATTTCCAGGTATCAACTGCGGGTTCTTATCGAATTTTATACTCTTCTACGAAGTTTCTTCTCTCTTTTTATCTGCAATAAAAACCAGTTGTCAGCCATTGGTTTTTTATTAACCGGCGACTTCTAGGAAATATGTTAAACATTACCGACAGAGTGGACGCCCGGCTCAACGAGCATTCACTGTACTCTATATGCCCACATATATTTGCATATATACATATGTACATGTTCTACACTGTAGCAAAACTTCAGCGCAATGGAATTCTTTGTTAGCCAAAAACTGAATGAGTTGCTAGCTTGACGCGATCGCAATAAACGCTTACTGCCGATAAACCCACCGAGCGCATTAATGTGTGGTAATTAATGCCAATACTCAATTACACAGATCAAATTTAGATATGAGCAATAGAAAATTGAGACAATAGTTGAGGCGTATATGCGAATCGTCAAAGGGTCTACTTGCCATAAATAGAGGAAATGCTGTCTAAGTTACTAACAAGTAATCAGATCGCGGGTGTGGTGATTACAAAGAATGGAAATAGTATGTTTGTATGTGTCTAAAATGCACAGGTAAATTTAAGAATTAAGTTTCAGTTTAGCAAATGTAACGGTAGTTTGTAGTAAACGGCGAATTTTGAATGGGTCGCAAAAAAAAATATTTTTATTCAAAAAAAAATTTACTTGAAAAAAAAAATTACCTAAATAATATTAGAGAAATTTACTTAAATACATTTTTTTTTTACTCTTCTCTGCTTGCCTGACGATCTAATTACTTTGCAAACATTTCGCCAGCCGTTTGGGCGGCAATAAGTACTTCAGCAATAGAGTCGTGTTAATAAAAGCTCGCTCATATGATAATGCAATTATCTATCAAATATCAAGACAATATATTAAAATTAATAATTAAAATATTCTATTTCATTCGACAACTTCAATTAATTGCTGCTTAATGGCCAGTATTTTATTGCTGATTTGAGGAATTCCTTCTTGGCGTTTAGTAATAAATACACCACATTTACCATTTTTACTTTCGTCTAGTTCAGCATGTTTCACTGCACTTTTATTATTTGAACTATACACATTTTCTACTGTCCAATGTAAATGCATTGAAAAATATTATAAATATTAATAATAAAAAATATTGTACGGTCCAAAGTAGGAGCACGAAAAGTAAACATTATTCTCATATATTCAGTATTAAGGTCGTAGAACTCTTGTGAACTCCACCGGTGAGTTCTTCCAAAGAAAGAGGTGTGAACACTGCTGATTCAAGTCGAATTGCTTGCCGGTGCTTGGAAAAGATATGCAAGCATACTTAACTTCAAATATATATAATATTATAGATATATAGACATATGTATGCTTGTACATGTATGGTCGAATTATGCATTTATTCGACAGGAAAAATGTTATTTGTCAGCAAGTATAGCACGCTACATACAGACATTGTATTTGTCGAAATATATTTGCCTTTGCAGGGAAGGTTTGCTTGAACTCAAGTAAAGCCGGACTCCTCTAAATTTTGTGTATGCATAGAAACGATTATTATGCATCCTTACATGTATTCAAATAACCGAGTTTAAAATTTTCCTGAATTTAACTATGATTACGGAAAATTAAACAAAGCCTTATAATTTTTCTGTGCTTTATATTAATTGAAAATTGTCTGCTAAAATAGATTCTAAAAGCCTCTAATATAACAATGAGGAAATGGTGATATATACTTGCAGCATTGAAAAAATTTATGAGCATGCCTTAAAGCTTTTAAGCTGCTCAAATAGGAAATGGAAAACATCAATATCACCTAAAACATCAATTTATGAAAATTAATTTCATGAGTTCTTAGAACTTAAATCTTTTTCCGTTCATAGCCTACAAGAGTATCACTCACTGGCAATTTATTTAGAGATGATGGAAAACCGCCTAATGTTAAATGTTATGCTGAAAATGGCAATTTTAAAATATGGTTTTAAATCTGTGATTTGAAATTTCTTAAAAAGTGGGCATGGTCGTGCCCTCTCATAGGTTTAATGTACTTGTATATATATATTTTACAAACCACTAAAGCTTAATCAACCAAACTTGATCATATAGCATGAGTGAAATCGTATGATGACCACGCACATTTCAACACCTGAAAATACATACATATAGCCACCGGATTTTTTAGCTTTTAAAATTCCTAGAGTATGAAATATTCTGTTATAACCTTTGCTTACATATAACTACTCATATGTCAATATGCTAATGCACTGCGTTTGGGTTTTCACGGAAATAATATTTCTGTTGCATCTGAAAGGTGGCGCCACAAGTGCCGTTTTCCAGTAAAAAGTGTCAGCAAAATATCATTCCGAATTTCAAATTAATTAGAACAATGCATTGGCGCTTCATATCTACCTTTCTACCTGCTTCCTAAGAAAGACAGATATATACGATGCAACAAGCATAACGCTGGGCCAAATGCATTTAGGAATAATTTGAAGGTAAGCTAAATGCCCTAAGAAATTCTGCTATTTACCATAGATGCCGGTTTATTGAACTCTGTTTCCCTGTGAAATTATCGAATAACAGTTAATTTTATTTTTGATAATCAATTCTATGGGCTTGTATACATATATACATGTATATAAATATCAAATGAAGATATTTATATTCACACGAATTAAGTGGTGCTTCCCTGAATACAAAGCTTTGCGAATTTATATACGTATTAGGGTGAGCAAAAATACTAACTAATCAAATTTTTTGGTTGAAATTAACCATTATATAGAGAAAAAATATCCCTGCAAGTAGAAATTTGAATTGAAGAGTTTTTGTATTGATAAAATACCCCTGAGACATATTTTTTTAGGATATTTTATGCTTTAAAAGAATTTTTGTATTGAAAAAAATACACTGAGGCAGATTTTTTTTGGATATTTTATGCTCTATTAGAATTTTTGAACTGATAAAATATCCCGGAGGTTACGCTGTACAAGAACTTTTGTATTAAAAAAAAATAAACCCTGAGGTAGGTGTTTTGAAAATTTTTGTATTGAAAAAAAAATAACTCCTGAGGTAGATGTTTTGGAAATTTTACGCTCTTTAAGAATTTTTGTATTGAAAAAAAATATCCCTGAGGTAGATTTTTTTTGGATTTTTATGCTCTACAAGAATTTTTGTATTGGAAAAAATATCCCTGAAGCGAACTTTTTGAATATTTTATGCGCTACAAGAATTTTTGTATTAAAACAAAACCGCTGACATAGATATTTTTTTATATATTTTATGCCTTACTAGAATTTTTGTATTGAAAAAAATATTCCTGAGGGAGATAATTATGTTAAGACGTCTCAAAAGTTTTGGTATTTTAATTGCAGGCAGGCTTTTTATGTATTATTTATATGGAAAGCTTGGAATACTCACCGATACCTTTTAATATTATATTAAGCAAAAAGTGTTCAAATGCAGGGATATTTTTCTCTTTATATAAGTTAATTTTAACCCATAAATTCTATAGGTTCTTTTTTTGGCTCACCATAACACACATTTATATCTATATTTGCTTTATCTAATAATGTTTTTAATTGGTCGTAAGTGAACGATAAGAATTGGTGGGACTGTGTGGAAGCCCACGGCTGATGGAGGGTGGAATGTCTCATACGTTTTGGCAAAAATAAAAGTTTACCTTAATTACAGACAAAAAACATCCATTTAAATTATGGATATGGGCATATGAGTACAGCCTGGGCGTGCGACCGTTTGCAGATTAGATTATTGTATCTGTTGTTGTTTTGTTTTTCACGCTACCGAGTCTGCTGGGTTCGGTGCCACTGACGGGCTGATTCAGCACTTGGTTCAATGATCGAATTCGCGAAGTTTGAGCACTTTTATTATTTTCTACGTTTTAGCGATCTTAACCACCTACGCTTATCAGTCATTTACAGTTTTCACCCATGACTGCTAGCTTTTTGTATTTTTTTTTGGCTTTTGCACTCTGTTATTCGTCGCTCTTTATGCGAGAAGAGTCAATTTTCTTCTGAAATTCGGTATTGAATGGTGTACGTACTACTTGGAATCATAAATATGGAGCGTTCAATAAATAATCAAGTTTTCAGTTATACATTACCCGGTATATCATAAATGTGGGCCTAAGTCTTGCCTAGAGAGCTTGTTACCTATAGCATATAATACAAAAAATGAGCTCAATCTGTTCGTAATTTCGTCCAACGAATGTGTAGTTCAACGGCTTTGCAGTTTTCGGCCATTTCGGCTGTGACCGCGCACCCAAACAAGTCTAATATGAAAAAAAAATGAAGCTGTTGGCAATGAGGTCATGCACTACTTGACTATATTTGAAAGTACAGTCAGCGAGCTCAAAGTCGGTTTAGTCGCTCGACTATCGAAGTAAATACATAACTCTCACGCTGCAGTGATCTTGTAGCCAGAGTTGATGGAGAGCTCTGGACAAATGACTCCAACTCCTACCCTTCCTTTCAACTTCGATCCATCTGTGAAGAGGCCCACTGCACCTCTTCTCTAACGGCTTAGCTGGTATTTATTATTAATATAACTTCCTTTGGGTTAAATACAGATCTTAGTATCTTATGACGGATCCCTTTTACCATATTATTATATTGTGAAATTTTTTACTTCATTATAAAAAGTACTACGCACACCTTTGCTTTATTTCCGGCTAATGTTATCAATATGGTTTTTCTTTGTTATATGTTTTCCAATGATTTTCGCAATCCTTCATATGAAATCATCAATCCATAATTACTCAATCTGTGTACTCTCTATCAGGCAATACTTTATCAATACCATTGCAAAACTTCGAGTCATTACAAAATGTGTACCAGGAAGAAACCTCCTGAGTGTACGATTACAAAATGATACACCCATAATTACAAATGGTATTTGAACAAAGAATGATTTGTCCATTTATTATTATGCAAGGCTTATTATATTCTTTATACTCACGTGCAATGTGTTGAGTCAAGGAGTGACACTACGTACATGACAGCAAATACTTGACCAAACCCATAAAAACCGTATTATGTACGAATAGGATTAATAACTCCGAATTATGGTCAACAAAAGTGCACATTTCGAGATAATCACGTTAGTACCCAAAATAATTCGATAATCGATTTTATCCATTTCGGGTACCTAACTAAAATATAGGCGATATTATATGTTCACTTAATGTTGCTGTAATATAGCACATATTGGTCGTTATAAAGCCAACCGGAAGTTTGAAAATCCTTAGATTAGATATATGGCGGGCTAGTGGAAGTATTGAACCGATTTTAGCTACACTACTACTCTCTACTTATCATATATATTTCGCAGAAACCGATAATTTCGCTAAAAACTGAGCAATAAGCCAGTGGTCCAGATGTTCGCTATCTGGGGGTTGTGGGCCGACTTCGACAGTTTTTAGACATGAGATGAGATGAAATATTAAATTTATGGGAAGTAGGCGTGGTTGTAGTCTTATTTCGCCCATTTTCACATGATCGTCAAGATAATGCTATGTACCAGATATGATTAAAATTTATCGAATAGGTCCTGAGAATGGAATTTCGCCAAAAGATAAGCAGTGCCATCCCGGCACTTTCTTCTCCACTGTCCGGCTTTTGCTAGGCTGAAACTGAAACAGTTTGTTACAGCCACAAAGCGGTTTGTCAATATGTGGGGTCTATTGATGCAGCTTATTGGAGTTTTTGGGTACCACAACGGACCGGAGTTTTAGGCTGTCCAAGTGTGATCCTTTTTGGGATCGACCTCCTAACCTAACCTAACATAACCTAAGCAGTGCTACGTCCGTTGTTAAATTTTACATCATGGTTATCATCCGATTTAACCTATTTTACACTGAGTGAGAAAATAATATATACATAAATACGCATCAAATTTGGTTGATATAACTTTAGTGGTTTCTGAGACGTTGTCACAAGGACATTTGTCACTTGTTTTTTGATATAAAAAATACAAATCTTATAGAATTGCTTGTAAATATACATATACGAGTACATATTATGTACACATGTAGACATAGTTCGCACGATATGAAGACAAATATAGTGAAAACTCACACACTTTCAATCAACGTCACAACAAAAAAGCGGCCGAGCAACACTTAATAACAATCAGCTGATAACGGCACTCACGAGTTACGTCTTCTACCAAGCAGGGCACTTTACCCCACATCCGCCTACTGATCAAAACAACTCGCAAAGCGTAAACAGAGAGCAATCGACAGTGTCCACGACAACTGAGTTGGCGTCGAAATCGAAACTAACGCCAACGCGTATCTCCGAATCGGAAATGAAAGCGAGAGTGGCATGAAGCTCGATCGTGTTTATGCATACACACATGCAGTGTATTGTGGTTAGCTTGAGGCTTGTTTTAGTAAGCTTATATCTATATCTAGCATGCTCGTATATGTATGTATAATAATACCGTTAGAATACGAATGTAGTAGAGACTGCAAAAAAATAAACTACGGAAATGCGGTTGCATGACGTCACAACGAGAGAGTGTGTGAGAGAGATACAGAACTAGTTGCAGGTCAAAGTCAAATTGCTAGGCAATTATTAAGTATTGGGATTCGGGAAAACCTAATAAAAAACAAATTTTGAAAAATTAACGGGCACGATCAAAAAAGTTAATCAAAAGTTCAAAAGTTGCATCTAGGCATATTTTGTAGCAAATTGTGGAATAGTAGTAGGAAAACTAGGAACGTTATGGAGTCTTTTCTTTTTGCTTCACTTATTCCTATTATAATAATAAACTCAACGATCATATAAATTATGGCTCTCCAGAAATTCTGAAACGGAGACATCAGTGTGCCGCCAGACTATATTCTAATATAATATAAAAATATTGACTAAAGCACAAAAATAAACCCAGTACTTTGACTAGCAGTAAATTCGAAGTCAACTGGCTCTCCAAAGCTTTCTATGACGTGTGCGAAGTGTCTGATACCAACAAATAGAAAACACTAAAAAATTCACTGATAGTGCTGAGGGCATGGCAAGCGGCCAGCTGAACGACTAGCAAAACAAACCGTAAGCAGGCAAACGGCATTCCATAAATGAGAGCGAAAGTGATTTTGGGCACTCTGAGAGTGTGGCGTACACAACGCTAGGCGAAGCGAGCGATCGTGGCCCCCCTTTGTAATAGCAACGCTGGATCCACAGGTAGTTGCAGCGGCTACGGCAATGCAGTGATTTACTTAAAAAAGCACAAACGTTTCAGCGTGGGATAGGGGGAAATGTGCTTTCGGTTTTGTGTGCCATATTCGTATGCAGGAATATATGTGTGTACATATATGTTGGTATATATGTATCCTCTGTGTTTTACGATCAGTCGGTATGAGTGGCATATTTTTGTATACATATGTAAGTTTCGGCAACTTCTTTTGGTCTGGCAAAGATTTCTTTTTACAATTTACTTGTGTGTTCGCCTTTCCCGTTTCATTTTCGTACTCTTTCTTCGGAGTGTGTGTTTTTTCGGCTGATGGCGGGAATTACAACGACGAATTGCAGGTCAAATTTTAGTTACAATTTACCAATTGTGGCGCTAGGACGTGTTGAACGCTTCGTTCGTATTCACACTAGAGACTTGCGAGGCAAATAACTGTTTTAGCACTTAAAAAAGAAGCTGAGCGTTTTTTTGGCGTAGCTATTTGCTCGTGGAGTTTGTAAAGTGCTGAGAACGTGTTTCCTACAGCAGCTAGCTGGCGAGCTTCCCCGTGTACACGTCATTCGTCATTGCATAAACGACGTCACTGTGGTTTTGTGTGCGCGAGTTGTTAGCGGTCGGGTGATTCGGTTACTTGGTCGGTGGTTGTATAGTTGGCTAGCTAAGTGCGCTTTGTTTTTCGGCAGTTTGCGTTGTTTTTTCGTTGTGCGTTGCACACTGCTGTAAGCTTACGAAGACATCTTCGTCATTATTGGGCCAAAACGAAGACGCTGAAGACTTGTCAAAGAGTCATTACAGCGCCGCAGAAGCAGCAACAGCAACAGCAGCGATAAGTGCAAGTGAGTGAGTTAGTTAGTTGGTTACACTCGCGAGCGGATGCGGACGCGCACGTCGTATAAGTGGAAAATATAAAATCGGTTGCATCATTTGTGAAACACTTCAGTCAACCGAGGAAGGTTGTTGAGTAAAAGTGACGCCGCGCGCGATATTCCAGACGTAGACAGCTGCCTGTAATGATAATAACGCAAGACAGTTATACAATTTTGAAGTAACTAACAAAAAAGTATATGCAAAAGTTGACTAAAATTTATTAATTAAATTTAAAGGGCGCTTAAATAATTTGTGCGCATTCTGAAAAAACCAAATTTATGGAATTATACGTGAACTGTGAAAACTTAAATAACATTAAAAAATACTTGAAAATACATATTTCTGAAAGCTGTGAAATATACTGATATAAAAATATACAAATATTTTAAAAAAATAAATGATGTACGCGCAAATAGATATATAAAATAAATTAAAATTTTACAAATAATTAAAAAAAAATTAAGTTAAAAAATATTAACAAAAAATTTAATTTACAAAATTATTTTTGAAAAAGTGTTAAGTCAAAAAATTACTTAAAAACATAAATTTTTAAATTATATTAAACAGTTAAAATTGAAAAAGTTTACAAAATTAAGAAAAATAATAATTAAAAAGTTATTTTTTAAACTAAAAAATTGATTTAAAAAAATTAATATAAGTTTACAAAATTAAAATATTAATTTAAAAAATAACTTAAAAAAATTAAAAAAAAAATATATAAATAAAATTTAAAAAAAATTTCAAAATTAATAAAAATATACAAAATTTAAAATTTATTTAAAATATAAATAAAAAAAAATAACTATATATAACTTAATTGAATTAAAAAATTTTATGAATTAAAAAAACTTTAATTTAAAAAATAAACTAAAAAATAAATTTAAAGAATTATTTACAAAAATTTAAAATAATTTAATTAAAAAAATTTAATTTCAAAAAATTTACAAAATTAAAAAAAAAAATTATTTGAAAAATAAACTACAAAAAAAAATTAAAAAACTATTTTAATTTAAAGAACTAGATTAAAAAAACTGTGTGACAACATTTACAAATGAAATATCCAAAGATTTTACCTCAGTTATAAAGTGAAGAAGAGCATAAAAGCCAAAAAAAAACTTAATGTAAAAAATTTCTAACATTTCTGAATAACTGAATAAACACATTTATACGAGTTATTACGCAAAGATATTTAAACGTGACAAACTTTGAAAAAAAACAAAAAATAAAAAACATATTTTTTTACTAAAGAAATTTAAATGTGATTAACTTAAAAAAAAACAGTATAAAAATATAACTGTAGTGAACTAGAAAGCAGTTCTCTGATATGTGCTAAGTTTTGCCACGCCGCCGCAACCAATTTGTGCAATAACGGTATAACTACATCTCAGCCCACTACAACTTGCTAGCTGTCAGACAGTCAGTATAAACAGCAAAGATTTTGCCTTCATTTGCACAACTAAAAATGCTCAATATGGAGTCACCACAGATGTACGACACCGTGCAGACGCTCTCCCAGCTGGACCTCAAAAAGCAGCCACCGCCTCAGCAGGCGATCATCGGCCAGATTACGCTGACCGCCATGTCCAGTGGGCAGCAACAGCAAAACAACAACAATGCGAACAATATTAACAGCAACAACCCAAACAGCAATCTCAACAACAGCAACGGCACAGATGCCAACAACAACAACAGCAATAATGTGGGTAATTTGGCAGCTGCCGCGGCTGTTGCTGCACAACAACAACAAAACGCTGGACTGGTGGTTAAACAACACGCGGTGCATCAAATGCAGCATGCCGCCGCCGCGCTCAACAACAACAACAATGCCTCCGCCATTAATGCGAATGTGAATAATGTGAATAATTTGCTGCAAAAGCAAATGCTACAACAATACACGCAATCCGATTTGGATGAATTGACCGCGCAGGAAATCACTTTGGATCTGCAACACCTGATCGACGATCAGTTTCGCGAGCAGGAGGGTTTGGGCATCTTCAGCGATATGGTCACCAGTCCGGGTGGTTTGTCGGCCACGCTGCCGCCCAACGGCATGGTTAGCGCAGCGGCAAAGGTGCTGCAACAACATCAACTGCAACAACAAACGTTACGCACACAACAACACAATTATGGACGCAGCGCACTCGCCTACATGCCGCAAGCGGTGCATTCGGGCGCAGCATATAGCAACAATTCGAGCGATGAGAACTCCTCGGTCGGTTCTGACTCGTCCACCATCAAAGAGGAACCCATCGATCCGGAATATCGTCGACACCTACAAGAGACCAATGCGAATAATGCAGCAGCTGCCGCTTTCATAACAAACAGCGGCGCCAATGGGCTCTACAATCCGTATCAGACAGCGTCGAATAATGGCCAGGTGGGCAATAACGGTGGCATGAGCAATGGCGTCGGCGGCGCAGCGCCCAATTTCACCAATCTCACCTCAGCCAATGTGTTGGCGCATCACTCCGTGAACTTACCGCATTTGGCTGCCGGCGCACACCTACTCAAACACCACAACAAACAGCTGCACCATCAACGCAAATCGTCGCTAAAACATGTCGATAAGGGCAGCGAAGAGTATCGGCGCCGTCGCGAACGCAACAACATAGCGGTGCGAAAGTCGCGCGAGAAGGCGAAGGTGCGCTCACGCGAAGTGGAGGAGCGCGTCAAAACGCTGCTCAAGGAGAAAGAGGCGCTGCTGCGTCAACTGCAGGAGATGACCAACGAAATTCAGTTACACAAACAGATCTACATGCAGCTGATGAATCATGCGAATCCGGAAGTGAGTCGCGTGTGCCGCAGTTTCCTCAACACCAACGATCATGGGCTTTAGAAGCGTCAGCAGGACAACGGCAAGCGCAGTGCTTGCAGCCAACAGCTGGTGTTTCGTGTCGAGTCGTGCGGCGTACGTGCGTTTGCGTGCGTGATCTACGTTTTTGATATACATATATACATATGTATGAAAATAAGTGTGTGGTGTGTGTGTGTGTGTGGAAGTAGCTTATATGCGTATTTGTATGTGTGTTTGTGCGTGTATTAGTTAAATTTTCGAGCAGCAGTTCTTATCGCTGTGTGCTTATGAAACATTAAATAAATTATAGTAAGCTCTAAGTTTTTATACAAGCTCTGCAAAGTGTATGTAAATTGTAATGTAAAATGTAAATAGTTTAAAGCGAGAGTCGAAATAGAGGCATTCCTCGAAAACCTGAATATATAATATTTGTATTTGTATTTATAACTTATATGTGTAAAGCAATACTTTTTTAATATTTTAATATAACTTATTTGTTAAAAAACAAAATTTTTTAAAATAATTTTTTAAATTAATTTCTAAGCAGGCGAAATTATTCAAGTTATTCAAAAGATTTCAGCAGCAGTAACAACTTAAGAGAGAGAGAGAGTTCATAGTTAACAAGCTTTTTACAAAATATTTAAAAAATCCAGGAAAAAAAGGAAATAGACTCTTTTTAAATTTTTATCCAAATTCCAATGGTTTTTCCTTATAGCCGTTTTTCCAATTTATAGCCATTGCCCTAAACGAATTTTTTGATATTAAAATTATTTTCGAAGTTTTAACGTTTTTCAAAAATAGTTTTCGAAGTTATAGCCGTTTTGGAATTATTTTCTAACAGAATTTTACAAAATTCAAATTGGACTTTTCGAAATTCAAACTGTTTTCGAAGTCATAGCCGTCTCCCTGAAAGGACTTTTCGAAATTTAAACTGTTTTCGAAGTCAAAGCCGTCACCCTAAAAGGATTTTTAAAAATTTCCATTATTTTTTTTATTTCAATTTTTTTTCGAAGTTCTAACCGTCCCCCAAAAAGATTTTTCAAAATTCCAATTGTTTTCGAAGTTAAAGCCGTATCCCCAAAGAGATTTTTCAAACTTCAAATTGTTTATGAAGTCATAGCCGTCTGCTTAAAAGGATTTTTCGAAATTCAAATCATTTTCAAAGTTACTCCGTGGCAAATCGGTCGGCTTGATCTTAACTAACAAAGTTTTTGGAATTTTCTCGAAACTACTTTTTTCGATGCGATACCACAAGTTTCAATCAGTCGGTTTCCATGAAATTTGGCATTAATATATTTTAAATACCCCGCTATCGTTTGAACCAATAAAAATGGAAGATTTCTTATTATTAATATTTATTAAGATCGAATAAATAAAAAATGCAAAAAAAGTTAAAAAATTGGTGAAGCAATCGAACTTTATTTTTGAGTAGCAAACTTCGTTGAAAAATCGGGTCTCTAGACAAGAGCACAACCTTAAATCACTGCACACTATTAGCTATATATGATGAGGGTCTCCAAACGGGTCACCAAAAACTTTATTTTAAAAAATAAACTGTTCTGAAATCTTCGGTAATTACCAATAAATAAATTTGTATTTAAAAAATCCATTTAGCTTAAAACGTCTGTGAAAAAACTGTCTTGAAATCTTGAAATGTCTGAAAACATTTACAGTAGATGAGAGTATCGAAATGGCGATAAAATTTTCATCAAAAACTTATTTCATGAAAAATAAAAAAAAGTATATAAATCATGAAACCAAGACGATTATGCTATATTACTTGCTGGTTCAAAATTACAAGAACACATGATAACGGTAAAAAGAAACAGCTTAGTCCAAAACTACAACAACAACAGTCAGAAAGTAGCGTACGCAGTCCAAAAACATCGCAAAACTGCAAAACTATGCGCTCAGCTCTCAAATATGCATTTCTTTTAAGCTTATGTGAAATTCAAATAAAAAGATATAAGAAAAAAAATTAAAAAAAAAATTAAAATATTTAAATAAAATATGTAGCTTGTTAAATTTTGCAATGCTTTATGCTTAATAATTTTCCAAAACTTTCTTTATAAATGTAAATGTCTACTCAAAGGTTTGTACTTATTTAAAATATATTTAAAGCCAGAACTATAGCTTCCCTTGCAAATAAAATATAATTTAATATAATTAAATGTAAAAGCATGTAAGATAAGCCAAAGAAGTTTTAAGTAAAATTTAATAATAAAAAAACAAAATACAAAAAAGCAAAATATGTAAATACATTTAATAAGGAATATTAAATTAAAAGTACAGTACAGCATAAAAGTGGCAACGCATTTCGCAGAGTTAAGTTTATTAAATTTACCTAAAAGAATTCTAAAAATTCTCAAAACTGTGAAACACGCAACTTTACAAATTGTAAGAAAATATATTTTTTGTTTTGGTATACCAAATACGTATTGCAAAAGTACCGTTAATTACTTCCATATGCTTTGGCGTGAATTAAAAATTGAGTTGACACAGAATGAGTGAAATTTTGAGAGTGTAAACAAATTTGAGATCTACTGTGTCTCACATTTTTTTCTTAATTATTCGTGATTTGCCAAAATATTTCAAAAACATATGCTAAATAAATTAAAATAAAAAATATTTTATATGTTTTTTCTAAATGATTTTTTTTAAATAATTTTTTTTCTAGATATATTTTTTAAATTTCATTAACGATTATAATATTTGATTTGCTGCTGTTTCAATTATTTATCCCAACTAAGTTTTTTAAATTTTTAAAAAATTACCAAATCTTCGCAAGTTTTTTAAAGTGTATGTATGTATGTAAAATATCGTATTTAAAAAAAAGCAACAAAAACAACTACTTTTGTAATATAAGAATTTGTCGCGCTTTTTGCTTCAATCATCACCCATTATAATTATGCTAAGCCCATTTAAAAAAACTATTTATTGTTAAAATGTGCTATAGACTTAAAGGGAAATGGCAATGTTCTCAGTTAGCTCAATTATAGATATTTTCTTAAGCAAATTACTATATAAGTTTTTATAGCGCGTAAATCACTCACATTAAGGCACCTCATTTAAAAAAATGTCTATTTTAAGAATTTTTGCAAAAAAAAGTTGCTATTTAAAAAAAAAATTTGTAAAAAATTGCTATATAAAAAAGTGTAAAAAATTGCTATTTAAAAAAAGTGTTGTAAAAAAATAAAAATTGCAATTTTAAGAAATTTTTGTGAAAAAAATTGGAATATTAAAAAATGTTTGTAAAAAAATTTAGAAAAAAAAGTTTAAAAACTGCTTTTTAATATGTAATGTACAATAAATGCTTAATAAAATAAGTGAAAAATAAAGTTAATAAATTTACAGTTATTTTAAACAGCTTTAGTAAATGCAAATAATTTTTTTTTTTATTTAATTTAGTGTCTATAGCTTTAGATTTTCATTTTCATACACAAGTAACTCATATATTTATATTGTATACAGTTTGTTTTTCAAAATTTTTAAATAAAATAATTTTTTACATTTTACATTAACTGTATTTGACGAAAAGTGAACAAAAATGAGAACAAAAACATAAACTACGCTTCACAAATAAAAAGTTTTCATACAAGAACTTGATTTTGATCGGTCTGTTTGTATGGCAGCCATGTGCTATAGTAGTGCGATCTGAACAATTTGTTCTGAGATTGTAGCATTAACTTCGATAATACTCCATGCCAAATTTTGTAAAGCTATTTTATCAAATAAAAAAGTTTTTCTTACAAGAACTTGATTTTGCTCGATCCGTTTGTATGGCCGCTCTATTCTAGAGTGATCCGATATCGACGGTTCCGACAAATTAGCAGCTTTTTTGGGAGGAAAGATTGTGCACAAAGTTTCTAAAACGACGCAGCTAATCATATGGCTCATTTATATATGCTCCATTCGGGTTCCTGACGTAAAATAATACTTAATATACCCTTTTCAAGCTATGACAATACAGCAATGTTTGCATGATTATGTGCTTACAGCTGTGTTTTGATAAATAATCTAACAAACAATTAAAGAATTTTATTTAAATAAATTACAGCATAAATTAAGAACATAATTCGCTAAATATTATATATATATATACATATATATATATTATATATTATATATTATATTAGTATTGGTGACTAGAAAATCGCTAAGTGTCACGCTGTTTCAATGCATTGAAGACGGCTCATCAGCTGTCATTGCCAAAGAATGTCACCGCGCTGCGCTCCTGCAATATGGCAACGCCCTTTATTTATTTGCATATTATGTTCCAATGTAAATACCAACGTATATCTGTATAAATATCAAAAGAAACTATATATACGTACATATGTTTATATGTATATGCATATAAAATAGGAAAATCTTCGCAGTCTGCTCACTTATGCCAATTGCTTGTTCTGATGTGAAAATATCTACTTGAAGCGAAATCAAATCAAATGAAATTAAAATTTTAAGTAAGTGCTTAGCACTTTGCTCGTGTTTTCCTTAGTGAATTGCCAACAAATGGTTGCAACAAGAAATTGTAGCAATAAAAAGAAAACTGCAGCATTCAAGCAGTGGCGTAGTGTGTAAGAGGAGGATACGAAAAGTACTTAGTCTCAGCGCTCGTTAGCCTCATTATTGCAAGCGAAATTAATGTTTCTTGAAGTATTTTTCCATAAAAGACCATTGTCAGCCTGGTCGGCCTGTTTTGACACGCCCACTTGTCCATGGACTTGATGAAAAATGAAAAATCTGCAATATTGGTCGTTGTTGTTACGCTTGCTTTGAGAAAACTTTGAGTTTGACAAAATATTTATGAGGTTTTTCTAAAGTATTATTAATTTTTCAGCTTATCTGTTATACCGTTATTAAATGTCTATTATTGGTGAGTATTGTCCACATTTTTTTCCGATGTTAATCAACGCAGCAACGTTGCTGGAATTCGGTCAAAAAAATACCGTTAATTCATACCTGACCTATCCGCCACAACTGAAGGCTTAGCTTTGGCATCCGTTGGCAGGATTCTGAGGACCACTCATTCGTACCTATATATCCCCCCTTAGGCTGCGCGGATATCTATTCAGTATGCGCTCTATGATTTTGGCTACCATGCGGCGGTCTCATTCCCATTTTTGAACGTTTGAATATGAGAATATGCTTCGCTATCAACACAATCTGCTCTCTCAATTGAATCTCAGTGTTGTGAGTGTTTGCTGGGTTGCGGCGAAAAGAACAATTAAACAAGAAAATTAAATATTCGGCAGTGGCGCGTTAAAAACTGTCGCTTTGGTGTTTGTTGTCATTGTTGTTGCATTTGTAGTTGGCCTAAGGTGGGCATAATTAATGTGATAGTTTGCTTGCGTTTACATTTGGCTAACTAGATAAGTAGATGCATACATATATGGTAAGTGCCGGTTCATACACTAAGACTACTGTTGCGTCAACTCGTAGTTTTAGTAGAGGAAGGCACAAGGAATTTTGTCTTTCATTTTTTGCCTACAAGAATTTGAGAAAATTATAAGAAAGGTAATGCAGAAAACTGGCTTCTGCTAAATGAGCTCTAGTGTCAATTTCAAGTCGCGTGTGTGAGCAACACCAGAATAGAGAAGTTGTAGATAATGAGTAGCAATAGTGTCCTTGTATGAACCCAGCCTAGGACAAATTCATAGCTCTATATAAATATATATAAACATTTGCAGATCTTACGTTAGCAACGCTTCGCTTAGGTGCCAATTTTATTGTCGCATTCTACACCGAGGCACTTAGATTGGCAGTAATTGAGCTGAAATATCATTTGACTGCTGTGATGAATTATGAATCTGAAATTATGTGCGACAATTTTGATTTATGCATGCATAATTCACCAACCTTAAATTGTTGCAACAAATATATAAAATATATCTACATACGGTATGGAAGACAAATAATAATCTGGTCTGGTCCTCATATAATTGAAGGTAACTGTGTAACTGTGAATTGTGATTAGAGAGAGACAAAAAGTTCCAGTAATTTAAAATAAAACTTTCTTAAAATCTAATTAGCTGTACGTAAAAAAATTGGTAAGGCAGGCAAAGTTCGGGTGCAGTCGTGCATTTTATACTCTCACAACTTGCAACGATGAAATGCGGGGAAATAATATACTATTATAAAGTGGTATGAAGTGAAAGTATGGTTAGGAAAATAGGTCCACCCCAATTTATTAAGATAACTCACAATTTGATATATTCTACATAAAATCCACTAGAATAAATCATATCAATATATTATAGACTTTTTCAACGTCGATCTGGTAACTTTGATGTCAAAGATACATCACGCTCTGGAAGTTCAATGTCGAGAAATTCGATAAAATAGTGAAAAGCGTTGAGTTCGACCATCCGACTGTTTCGATTGGCTGGAGCTAAATAATGCACAAAAAAAATAAGCCTTTTGGAACCATTAAAAAAATACTGGTTATGAAAAGGAGGTCGATGTATGGGGTTAACTTAAAAGCCCTAATGGACCGCATTTCCATTTGTGAATCCCAACAAAATCTATACTTTCCGAAGCTGATGGTTACTGGTGATGAAAAATGAGTCATTTACGACAATGCCAGGCGAAAGCGATTGTGACCGAAGTCGGTACAAACGGAGTCCAAGCCAGCCTTGACGGTCAAGAAGGCTTTGCTATGTTTTTGGTGGGTAATTGGCAGGGAATAATCTACCGTGAATTACTTCCTTACGGCCAAACTCTTAAATCGAAACTGTACTGTCAACAGTTGAACCGCCTGCCGGAAGCAATCGTAGTAGTAACTTGCTTTCCCAATAAGAGAAGAATTATGTTCGATCTGAACAACGATAAACCACAAACAGCGATAGTGACTCGCCAGAAGCTCAGGAGCTTAGTTGGGAAATTCTTATGACTTCACCTTAGTGTACGGACCTGGAAACAAGTGATTACTAGCTGTTTGTTCTTTTCTATGGCGCATGATTTGCTGTTGAAAAACTCATCTCAAAGGAATCATGTGAAAATCGACGCTCCCGGTGTTTTGCGAATAGGGATGAGTGATGAGGGTGGGAGTCGGGAATATGTAACCAAAACGGAAGCAATTTTTTTCCAGCCAAGGGCTGTCAACTCGGCAGCTTTCATCCAAATTAGTTTACGGATGTTTTTTTTTTTTAATAGGCTTTATAACTAGTATAATATATGGGGGCTGAGGTAATTCATTGACTGATTTCTATTATTATCGGTTATAGTATATCCAAAATTATACGTTCACTTAATTTCTTTAAGATATCTCACATGAAGCCGTCAAATATGCTGCTTGATCGAATAAAGTCTCATCGCCAAGTTATTAAATAGATCAAACATCTTTAAAGAAGAGTGTCGTTTGGAATATACATACATACACATATATATATATTCGTATGTTGTATGTAGATTAGGCTTTATAACTACTAAAAAATATTCAAATGCCAGCGATAATAAGGCAGAGCGTAAAATGCTGCCATATCACTCCCTTACTGAAGTCACTTAGAAATGCTGTTGCCACCATCGATCATGATCAGTATACTCGTATATCCATATGGTATGGTATGGTATATACT